TTATTATTATTATTAGTAGTAGTAGTAGTAGTAGTAGTATCATGCATAATAGAACAGATATACAACAATGCTGTTGGTACACTAATCACAAAGTACGTACACTCATTACGGACAAGATTAGTATAATGGCATATCCTAGGAGGAAATGCACAAAGCACAAGGAGAACATGCAAACCGCAGGCGATGTGAGCTGGATTCAGACCCCCAGGCCTGGAGGAGTGACGCATCACCCAGTGCGTCTCCCATGCTTAGGCTCCTAGTTACTGACACTGCTTCCACACACACACCTCCTTGTAAGCCACCAGCAATACCTCACTAACTGAACATTGTGGAATTAGCTCTGATATCATTGTAACTCACTTACATGTCTGTTCCATCAGTTTAGCTAGAATTGCTTGCATTATACAGGGTTACATTATAATTGCAATATCAGGGTATAAAGCCATCCATCTGAGAAATAAAATGTGATATTTGAATACAGTGATAGTACATTTATAATTTAATTCTTTGTTGTAATGCCAGCAGCAGAAATTCTGATAAATTACTACGATGTGGCTTGTTTTATATGTAATTTTCAAAAGCGTGGATTGTTACAGGAAAAAAATGCAACGCAAGGTAGATGATGTAAGAATTAGAAAACTTGAGTTGGGAATAGCAGAAATATGAAAGGGCAGCAGCGGTGTGACTCAGAGAGTAAAAAGCACCCACCTCTGTTGTCCCTTGTGGCCTCATAATGGTAACTGTAAAGACCTAAAGTGCGAATGTGCTGGGAAATAGCAAGAATGAGAGAGCATGACAGGGAAGACCTGAAATATTATCAGCAACTGAAAGAACAAATCCTGCGTTCGATTATCTCTCTGAAAAATGTCACTTCCCGTTGGAAACACACCTCCTTTTCCACGTTGTCCTGCATTCGATTATTCTCTCCGAGTCGGATTCTGCGTTCGATTATTTCTCTCTGTTTCATGACATTTTCATCCGAGTTCCGACTCAGAGAGAAATAATCGAATGCAGGAAGAATTTTGTTGTCTGAGCTCAAACGGGAGATTGTCGGACGTGATGTCACTCACCTCGGAATTTCCAAGTTCCAAGAGAATCCAAAAATTGGATCCCGAGGCACATGGAATGCAGCATTTCTTGTCCGAGTTTCCCCTGTGACGTAATTTCAACATGGCGGCTTACACACTCAACAGAAATTCTATTTTATAAATCTTTTAAAGTGTTTATTTTGTTAAATGTACTTATAGTTATAAATGTAATTGCACGTGTTCAATATAAGAAATACCATATCATGACCGTACACAGTATCCTAACATGCAATATCAGATTTTTAACAGACTTGTTAGTGTCTTTGGTTTGTTTGCCTCTCGAAAAAAGAACATCGCTATGACTGTACTAAATTATTTTATAAAGCTTTTAATGTGGTTTGACTAGTTTGTGTTTCTTGTTTGTTTGTCTCTCGGAAAAAATAATCTCACTCCAAATGTGCTAAAAATATAAAGCAACAATACACAGCAACGTGTTCATGGAGGCAGCCATGTTTGTTCCGAGATGTGGTAGCTCGAACGGGAGCTTGTCGGACGTGATGTCACTTACCTCGGAATGTCGGAGTTCCGAGAGAAAAATGTCAGCCTTCTTGGTTTTATTGCTCTTTTTATTGGAGTTCACAGCACATTCCTCTCTCCGAATTTAGGCTCTGTGCTCTCCTCTCTCTGCAAACACGCTTTGTGTTTTCAGCACAGATAAGTTATGGAAATGAGGTGCTTAAGGTCCAGATCTCACACAGGTGCTTCTGGGTTCGCTGCTTTCTGTTTTGTGTGACACCCTGTCTTTTGTGATGTAGATCTCTGCTCCATTTTGTGTTTGACCCCAAATCTGACAGCAGGTGTAACGGCTCCATGAGGGTGTCACTGCTGGTGGAGACACCTGTGGTCCAATAGAAGGAAAGGGAGACAAGTTGTCCCACCAGAAACCTACACATTTACAATGAGAGGACTTTGGAGAGGGCACTGCTGCAGTCTGCAAACTCAAATTGCAGATAATATGGAGGCTAAATGCTGAAGATTTTAATTTCAAGTGTAGATTGTGTGACATGGGTATCACAGTTTAACATTTTCAAAAGTATTTGGATAGTCTACTTTTTGGTTGATTTTCTTTCCACCTATTGAACACCCTGATGCTGTTTTCCCAAGAAATGCCAGAATGCTGGCACAGTGAATCAGAGTTGCTAGGAGACCTTTATGTTCCTTCTGAGGAAGGGAACGACGGCTCATGAAATGGCTGCGTTGACCTAGTTTTTTTAACACAATTTCTACTCTGTAAGACTGGAGCAGAGTGGAATTAGGTGGAATTAAAAATTTTTTTTTGCCCTAAGTAAATATAGTTCAGATTTGTATTGTATTATTGCTTTAATGTAATATATCATCATTTGTAAATACTTAATAGACATTACCCTTCTGAATTTTCCCATACAAGTACACAAAACAGGTGCATTACCATAATTACAATTTTCATTGGACTCTTGGTCTAAACAATGACTGGCTTATTTAGGAATGTGGTTGTTATCATGATACAGACTTTCTCTATGGTATTTACTACAGGTGGTATGTTAGGGTTAGCTCTAGGACTCAAGGTATTTCCCAGAGAATGATGTGTACATTAAAGGCTGCTGGCAGCACAAAATACAGAAACATGCACAGACAGACAGTACAAGGCCCATGTTCAGATTAATAGATTTTTTTAGTGGCAAAATAGTCAAATTAACCAAAATTTCAGATACATGATGCATGGAGTCATACAGTGAGGTGAAATACCATCCTCATTGGTCATAGTTCATGAGTTATGAAGTCAGACCCTGTACAGGTTATGAGTTATGAGCCCAGACCCTGTATAGGCTATGAGTTATGAGTCCAGCCCCTGTGTATGTGAGTTATGAGCCTAGACTTTGTACAGGTTATGAATTATGAGACCAGACATTGCACAGGTTATGAATTATGAGCCCAGACTCTGTACAGGTTATGAGTTATGAGCCCAGAATCTGTACAGGTTTGAGTTATGAGTACAGGTTATGAGTTAAGGGTACAGACCCTGTGTAGGTGAGTTATGAGCCCAGACTCTGTACAGGTTATGAGTTATGAGCCCAGACCCTGTGTAGTTTATGAGTTATGAGTCCAGATCCTGTGTAGGTGAGTTATGAGCCCAGACTCTGTACAGGTTATGAGTTATGAGCCCAGACTCTGTATGCATTAGAGGGTTGCTGTAGGAGGAATGGGTGTAGGTTGGGCTGTCTAGTGGGTGGATGCACCCTGGACACCTACATGTTAATTGGAGCAGGAAGCTGCAGTTTCTGCACTGGGACATCTGGTATTGGAGTCTGGGGGAGATGGGGGCGGTTTAGAGTCTCTTAATAACAGTGGGGGAGGGGTGTGCATAGAAAAGGCCTTCATCTACATTTTAGGCGTGGGAGCCTGTGTGCTGAGATCTCAGTGTTTCTGTAGTGATTCGGGGGATGAGTTGATGGGGGGTGAATACGGACCCCACCTTAAAGTAAGACTGATTAATGGTGTGAAATGGATTAGAGGAAGAATGGCTTTGTGTTCTCGGCCCAGCACACAATGGGGGGGTGGGGGAGCCCTGCTCTGTGAGGCCCAGTATCAGGCCCGTTTTCTCCAGCCATCGTCCAGCTAGCATTTGCTGAGCATGTGGAGAGACGTGATACGGCTGAGCAGTAGAGCAGAAACTTCCCTGAGTGCTCATCGGGGGCTGGAGATGGGGGCTGGAGATGGGGGCTGGAGATGGGGGCAGGGCCTGGGGGAGAGCCAAGGGGCTAGAACAAGGCTTCGGGCTCTTATTACATCTGGCATCCCTGTTGAAAATATTGCATTTTATGACACACATTGAGCTAAATCAAGTAACGTCACCGGGAATCTCAAGGAGAGCCAATAATAACTCTGCCTGGCTTAAATTTATTTAACTTTTCTCCAAAGGTATGTACCGTTAAGAAAACAGGGTCAGTAAGTTCCTGGAGCAAGTGGGGGATAAGGGCCTTGCTCATAGGCCCAATGTTGAAATCACTCTGGCAACCATAGGGCTTGAACCAGGAACCTTCCGATCACAGGCCCCATGTCAGTATTCTGCCAGGCTGGTATAAGCAACATGCAGCTTTGTCTGGCATATTGACACACAGAAGGTCTTTCTGAAAGATCCTCACCTGCCCAGCAGTCATCAGTGTGCCGTACACTTTCAGAATGATGCCCCAGTATGGGGCAAAGCATTAGAGTGCAAAATAAGTAACGATGCCGAATACGCCCTAGTGTGACGACTTGCCTGTGATTTCATTGTCTCTCCATCCCACCCTCCTTCTCCAGGTGATGAAGACCTACCACATGTACCACACAGAGAGCCTCAGTGCAGAGAGCAAGCTGAAGGAGGCCGAGAAGCAGGAGGAGAAGCAATTCAGCAAGTCAGGAGACATCAATATCAACCTGCTGCGCCATGAAGACAGGCCCCAGAGGCGCAGCTCTGTGCGGAAGATGGAGAAGATGAAGGAGAAGGTGAGGCCTCTAGGGCAGTGCTGGGCTGTGGCTGCTGCTTGCATGAGGGTTAGCATGTAGAGTCCCTGTTAGGCCAGCAGGTGGAGTGGTGGTGCCTGACTGGCTGCTACAGTATGTGTAGGTGTCTGGATTTTCTTGAGCTCTTATGCCCTTGGAGCATCGGTCTCACGTTCTGAGGTGACTAGCTGATGATATTTGCACTGCTGTAGCTGATTGATACATGCATTTTTACCGTAATCATGTCCAAAAAATGCCCTGGCAGGAGTTTGAATGGCGGACCCCACTTCGCTAAGAGATGTTAAATAGGTGCAGCTCAACCAAATCTTTAATGGGAGAATAAGATTTGGGCTTCTAGGTCAATGACTGAACAATGATTGTAACCTCAGCAGATTGATCCATTATAAATCTGCCGAGTGACCTGGCAGGCTATGGTGATGAGGAGTTACAGTGAAGGAAATGTAGCAAAATGATGGCATACTATAGTCTCTCCACTGTACAGGATACACAGCCAATAAGAATAGCTGTCATTCTGACATTCAGGCAAATGAAGCATGTTCATAATAATCACATTTGTTTGACAAGCACCATACATCTGATCAACTATTGATAAATAATTTAGAATGTTTGGGTACCAACTGATTTCTGCATGTCCTTGCTTTAATGCAGGGTAGTTTATGAAGGATACTGTCTATTCCAGGAACAGTTTTGTTTCTTAAAAACTACTTATGAATTTTCAAAGGAGATCCCATAATTTCAGCATGTTTCAGCCCCATTTTCTGTCCATGATGTTCTGTCTTCCTTGAAAATGTTGGTGCACGCTGCTGTAGACTTGTGTTCTGGTGTGTTCCTTGAAGAGAATTAGCCACAGCAGCAGTTTTACTGTGAACATCTTTGCATTTAGCCCAGCCACATCGTCTGAAGCCGCTACAGATTGGCAGGAGACGCGTAGATGGCATCCCTTACGACGATTTTACCGTTGATTTTACCACCAATGATTTGTCATCTGTGCTGATGTTGTTGGTGTGCTTCCATGTGCAGAGACGTTGTCAGATAAATAATGTGTCACGAAATGGGAGAGTGGTGTTTGTTTACTGACGACTTTCCTTTTGATGTGCAACTCTTCAACTCTTCCTCAACTCCCCCCCCCCCCCCACCAGAGACAAGCCAAGTACTTTGAAAACAAGCTGAAATGCACCAAGGCGCGGAATGACTATCTGCTCAACCTGGCAGCGACAAACGCCGTTGTGGCAAAATATTACATCCATGACGTGTCTGACATGATAGATGTAAGTGCTGATAACTGTTGATATAGCTTGTCAGCATCTCGCCGTTTAATCCCCACAGTATATGGGGTTTGTAACGTAGAAGCACATGGTTCTCTATAAATTCACTGAATCTGTTTAGCAATCTGGAGGACCACATTACTAAGGACGCTTAACATGAATTCTATATCCTTGGCACTCAAAAAGGTTTTAATAAAATAATATGACAGTTTGATTATAAGGCATTAATCTGTCCTCTTCAGACTTACTACCCTTCTGTAGGTTCTGAAGTATCATACCTTTGAACTGGGAATGTCGCATTTGTAAAGCTGCTTTTTTCTCCCTTAGATCTAATAGATTTAAATAACAAACTATAGCTGTTGCACATATGGCCTAAAATGTATCCCACTGCTGTCTGTATTACACACAGTTCCACTGGAAGTGTAGGATGTGACACACAGACATGGTTGTCTGTAAACTATGTTCTTGCTGCTGGGTGCGCCTGAATTTCCCCCTGGGATCAAAAAAATTATCTTAATGTTAATCTCAATCTTAACCTTAGTTTTACTTCCTCCTTGCAGTGCTGTGACCTAGGGTACCAAGCCAGTCTGGCCCGCGCCTTCAGGACATTCCTGTCAGCAGAGTATAACCTGGAAACCTCACGACATGAGGGCCTGGATATCATTGAGAATGCTGTGGACAACCTGGATGCTCGCAGTGACAAGCACAAGCTCATGGACATCTACAACCAGGTCTTCTGCCCGCCCATGCGCTTTGAGTACCTGCCCCACATGGGTGATGAGGTGAGCCTAAGCTCTTTCAAGTCATATATAACATGGCCAGTGGGTCAGCGTCCCCAGGTACAGTAGCCTGAATCGTCATAGCAGTGCTGGAGTAGAACTCTTACTGTATGAATAGTGTCTTGGAGAAATCTAAATGGCGGAAAACCATCTGTACCTGACTTCATAAGCATAATGAGTTGGCACAAACACTCTGAATGGCACTGGGCACATGTTATTGTTCTGTATCTGCATGCGAAACATGGTGAGAAGGTGGCAGCACCTTCATGCAGGTTCTGGTGCCTTGTATCTGCATGCGA